TGTATTTTTATGTATTTATTATTTTTTTAAAATATTATTTCACAATTTTTTTATTTTTTAGATACATTTAAGTAAAGTGCATCTAAAAAAGTAAAAAAAAATATTTAAAATTTAAAAAATATTCACTAAAAACAAAAAAACACGAAAATAAAAAAAGTCAATTTTTTAAAAATTTAATCCAAAAAACTCAAATCAAACACACTATTATTATTTTAATCAAAAAACACGACCTTTCAAAAATTATTTTCTAAAAAAGGGCATTGCTAAAACCGTTTTACGGGAATAAAGATAAAAATTTATCCCAAAGTGGGACTAAAATTTTAGAAATGGTATAGTGAGGAAATCAACCCTCTCTCCCCTACAAAATTTCTTGCCTTCTTTCAGAGCGCTCTCTCTCTCTCTGTCTCTCTCTCTCTCTCTGTGTTCGCCTCCGCCAAGTCACCGCCGCTGAATGGGATTATTGGAATGAGAAGAAGCGGTTGAGATTGCTGACATAGCTCGATTGCTATTGGGAATTATTCTTTTTATTGTGAGATATTCTGGCTCATTTGTGAATTGTTTGTTCATTTGGCCACTTGTTCTTCGTCTTCTTGTTTGTTTGATGGATGTTAAAACAGATGTATAAAAGAAATAGAAAATTGTATTATTGAATAATGTATGCTTGTTGTGTGTCTATCTTTACAAGAGAATTAGGTCTCTCTATTTATAGAGAGGAGAAAGATACAATGGAGTACGAAGGCATAAGGTAAGATATTACAATAATATCAAAGTGTAATCTAAAGCTTTGCTGGTAGTGGGTGTTGGCCTCCTTTACACCTTTGCTGGTTCCTAATGCACATGTACATTACAGCTCCTAATGCACATGTACAGCCACTAATGCATTATGAAAGTATAAAGTATATTATATGTTATATTATATGTTAACAATGGAAAAACATTGAAAGTGGTTTTTATTGTCAAACGAAAAACAAATCTCTTTGAGCGAAAATGTTTTCCAACATAAATTCTAACCAATGACACCATATTACCCTCATCTCTACCACCATCATTGTCTCCCCGCCACCAAATTACAACAAATTAAGAAATATTTTAGTTGATGAAACTGTAATTGTTGTGTTTTTAGCGATAAAATTGTACATTTATAAATGAATTATTATCTTTTTGGTATCAAAATTTTTGTCTCAAAAGGTAATTTTTTTGGCATGAAATTGTTCTATCATTTACCACTGACATTTTCAAAATTTTATTGCTAAGGATAAATTTTTTTGGACTTTGTGGGTCGGACTTTTAGTGACGGCTGAAATTAGTAATCTTAATATTTTTTCTTACAAAAAATTCACTTTCAGTGATAAAATCATTAAAACTCTTATATGTTGGAGTTGTCCACTGTCACAGAGCGACTGCCACTGCCACTGCCCCGCCACTGCTATTAGCATATTAGTTTTAATGATGTAAACAATCATAGGAAAGTATTTTTTCTGAAAACTTTTTTTTAGAAATTTTATTTCCTAGAACAAAAATATTAGAGGCTCCAAAAATTCTATCAAAAGTTTTATCAAATGTCTCGTATGGGTGTGGGACCCACATGAGACCCACATTATGTGGGTCTCATACTCATGTGAGACATTTGGTAAAACTTTTGGTAGAATATTAGGGGTATCTAGCGTTACTCTTCCTAGAAAATGCATTTCAGTGAAGAGAAAATACCTCCGAAATAAACAGATCGGTAATCAACTTAAAAGTCAATGGAAAAGGCCTGTTCCAATTCCCATATTATTCATTTATGCTGTGTTTGGTTGGAGGATTTGGAGAGAGATTTGGAAAGGGAAAGGGAAAAGGTGTGTGAAATTATGTGAAATTTAGGCATATTTTATTCTCATTTCACCTACCTTTTTCATTTCCCTTTCCAAATCCTCCAACCAAACACAGCATTAGAGTAGTTCTCTTCATTATCTTTAATTTGCAAGATGAGATGAGATCCCCATTTTATTATATTCCTTTTGAAGCACTGTCTGTGTCCCACTTTCAGATATTTATAATTTCTATGTCAAAAAAGAAAAAAAAAAGAGAAGTGAAGGTGGGATGCGGATAAATGGAAACAGAAAATCAAGGAAGATCATGGCTGTATCAAAAGGTGGCCAAGCCAGTATAAATGAGAGGGCTTCAGAAGAAAAAAAAGCCATCTAACACGACTCACACATCGTGATTACTAGGCGTAGCTTTTATCTAGGAGTATTAGCAATTTTAGGAGTAGATCAGTGATGGCTTCTCCCAACACTTTTTTCTCTGCCGATCATTGTATTTTTTAGTTTTTTGCTCTTGCTTGAAGTTCATGTAACTTGTAACAAGTGACGTTTGATTTGATTAACACAAATTCAGTTCTGTTTCTCATATTTGTTCTTTATTTAATTAATTACCTTCAAAGAAATCATTAATCTGTTTAAGGTATAGAACTAAACCACAAAGTTTGATATATTTTTGTTTGGTAAAATTTAAGTTTTGTCTGTTAATTGGTTTCTGTCGATTGGCCTTAACCAAATATTTGCTAACAATTTTTATACAAGCTTTTTAATAGTTGGACAACATATGATTGGCCAAACACATGGAGATGTATTTGATATGTGCATGTTCATAATATTGATACTTTTTTACGGTGGTGTATGAGACCACTCTCTTTAAAGTTTGCATTGTGCTCAATGTTTCAAATAAATGGTTTGTCTTCTTGGGGACTAAATTACTTTGTCAAGAACTTGTCTTCACATTCATTGTGTCTTTTGCCACATTTTTATGTTTGTTTGTTACTTTTGGTAAGTGATCTTTGCATATCAATCAAATCAAATCAAATCCTCGGAAATGAATTTGGCTGCTAGAATGATACCAGAGGAATAAAATAGAAGTAGATAATCTAAAACACCATACATAATTACAAATTTTCTTTGCTATAACTGGTTATCGTATTCAAATAACTGGTTCTTGCTATAACTGGTTATTGTATTTAATTTTTGTTTGCTGTACTTGAGAAATATTTCATCTTATTGTCTACGATTATTTATTTTAAGAAACTTTTAACTGATTCTGATGTGGTGTTTGTAGTACTATATAATTTCATTTGGAATATTTAATCTTGCGTAGTGATTAATGACTATCGGTATAGCGGGTTTGATCCGGAGACACCTCAACTGAGATGAGGATTGAAAAATTGAGCACAAGGTCAGGTGTACAAGAAGAACAATAAAAGATGAGAAAATTCTACATTTTCTAATATCTAAAAGAAAAGAATATTCATATCACATGAATGATTGCAAATTTCATTCCAAGTCTTTGCCAATTAACAGACCCTTGTTTTTAGTGTTGTGTTGAGGTTGTTTTCTACATTTCTTGTCAACGTATTAATCCAGCCAAGAATGCGACCCCACAAGTGTGGAGTCCAACTAGTAGTATTGAGATGCATAAAAATAGTATAATTAGAAATTCAACGGGTGTACAATCTATATTTGAAACAAACATGGGGTAATTTGTCATTTTTAAAAGAAAAAATTATCAATAAGTCATATTTTACTATTAAGATTACTATTAAGTTTTATTAAATTTAACAACAATGCTAAGTGGCCTGAAAAATTATGACTCAAATTGCTCGAAACACCCAAAACGACGTCGTTTTGAGTGTAAAATGACGTCGTTTTGACACATTCGAACCATGCGAGCCACCAAACATTTTTCTAAATTTAAATATGAACAATTAAGTCCAATTTGACATAAAATATTTTTAAAAGGTTCATTCCTCCACATTTCTTGTCCTAATTTTACTCTTCGTTTAATATGAACACAATTTCATAAATATTTTTAATCCAAGTAAGATTATATTTCTTTAATTGTAAAAATTATGATATTGTATTAAAACAAATCATAAATCAGAATGAAAAAATTCCCAATAAATTCTATTATGTTTTGAAAATTACTATCAAATTATATCAAATTTTAATACTAATAAATAAGTAATGTTTTCTTTTTTATTTTATAAATTGTTATAAAAAAAAAGTTTAATTATTCATAACAGTATATTTTATTTATTTTATTTTTCTCATTAAAATATAAACCAAAAATTTTATACATAATTATTTTTAAGTGCATCAAGGGTGAGGACTCTAAGATGCTAGTGAAAGATGAAGAGATTAGGGAGAGACAGAAGAACTATTTTGAGAAGTTGTTAAATGAGGAAAATAGTGATAGGCCAAACGGGAAGAAAGTAGACAGCAGTAATAAGGAAAACCAAGACTATAGATTCTATCGTAGAATTAAGAATTTTGAAATAACATTTGCACTTAAAAAGATGAAATTGAATAAGGCTTCAGCATCCGATGATATACTTATTAAAGCGTGGAAATGTTTGGATAAGAACGGGATTGTTTAGTTGATTAGGTTAAGATTTTGTTGACTAAGAAAATGTCAGAGGAGTGAAGGAAGAATATTTTAATATAAATATATAATAATAATAAAGATATGTTCAGAATTGTAACAACTATAAAATAATCAAGTTAATGGGTCATACAATGAAAGTGTGAAAGACAGTGATCGATCGTCGACTGCGATGGTTTGGTAAGAAACAACATGTGGAGAAGATGAATGTTGCTAAGATGATGATGTTAAGATGGATCTGTGACAAGACTAGAAAAGACAGAATTAGAAATGAATATATTCGAAAATGGGTAGGAATAGTACCGATAGAAGATAAGTTGAGAGAAAATAGATTAAGATGGTTTGGTCATGCAACCAACCCCATTTGATGAGACTCAATGCTTGGTTTGATTTGATTTGATTTAATTTATTTGACAAATTGAATAAAAGCTATCTTTTGAGAGCCCAGGACTACAGTTAAGAATAAAAATAATGAAATGCTTTAACATTAAATAAAATTATACACACTAATCAATGTACTAACAGATGATGTGACATATTTTTATTGACTTTGAGTGCTTATAATTTATATAATAGGTGAGATCCATAATTTTGAAGTAATAATATAACATGTATTGATACATTAATTGATATATCAATTGGTGCGTGTAGCACCATTGTTTAATATTTGACAAAACAAATGACAATTAATGGGGGAAAGCAACTTTGCAAATAAATTTTCTTTCAGAGTGCATTAAGTCAACATGGATCCATCATCACACGGATTAGAGTCTGTAATATAACAACAACATGAGCTTGATCTTGATCTTGAGCTGAGCCGAGGTTCCACCAAAAATACTAGTTGAGAACCTTCTGAGCAAAAATGCCAAACCAAACTGATGCATGCCCAGAAAATGAAATGTACAAGGTCGGTGGTAAGTCAAAAATCATTTCAACCAGCAGGCCCAATTTCACAAAGGAAATATCATCCAAAAGATCTAGGTTGCTTGGGAGTTCTATGAGCACTCCTCCACAGCTGATAACAAAGAAACAAAGAAAAAAGTCAACAGGTAGTTACACAGTTCAACTTCTGCAAAACACACACACACACACACAGAGCGGAGGTAGGTTTATACATTGTTAAAAACCCAAGTAATCAACTGTGAATGCTCTAAAGACACAAAATTAGTTACAAAGCAAAATAGAATGAAGCAAGCAGAATCGAAATTTGATATTTCATTACAAATATTCACCCAAATGACTGGAAGACATTGTGATTGTTTTAATCAGATAATAGATCCACATTCATCAGCGAAATGCATGCACTGCATCATTGGCATTAATAAATAAAAATGGCAGACAGATAGAACTCTCAACATGATAATGCAACAAATTGATGAGGAAACTCAGTAAAGCATGCAATCATGACTCTTTCTTCTTCCACTCTAGCAGGTCACTGGAGGAAGTACACTCTATCCACAGAGTGACTGCATCTCTAAACAAATATTACCAAGTAGCTCAACAACTCCACGAATAACTGACAAAGAATATGGTACACACTAATGATTTGAATGCATGATGCTTCTCATCTTACTTCTTTGTTCTAATTAACATGATTGCATGTGCCTCATGTTGGCAGGAGTAAAGAAAAAAAGAGACGCTATATGTCACCGTTTTATATCATCCCCTACATGGATACTCATAATTGGTTCCATGTAATTTGGTGATATAAAAAAGTGAAAAAAAAGGTGTTATATAGCAGTCCTCAAAGAAAAAACCTAAAAGAACAGAGACTAAATAAAATGTGTGGCAACAAATTCAAAAAGGGTAAAACCATAGATAACTGCCATGAGTACAGTGTGAGATAATACAAGACCAGAAAGACTACATTTAAATAAGCACAGCAGCATACCATAAGGAAAAAAACAAGAAACAAGGTAAAATCACACATAACCGGCTCATCCGATTTCGAAACAATCATGTGCATGGCAATGCTATCAACAATATTGACCTCATAATCCGAATCAGGCTACAGGTTGTCAGATTAGTTATTTTGTGAGCTTAATATTAAATTTAAATACCCAATTTGAAAGATAATGCCAAGAAAAGAGAATGGGTCTTTTGGGACTAGTTGAGAGGGTATGTAGGACACACACACACACGAGAATAATGAGAGTGAGTTTCCAGTGGGGAAGATGGTGGTGGTGGTGCAGGTGGCAGCTGATGGTGCCAATAGACATTATGGTTGGAAGTGGTATAGTAGTGGTTTGAGACAGAAGTGGTGGATGTCACTGCCACTGGGGAAGGTAATGATGCTAGGAGAGGTGGATGCGATACTGATCTCATAGCCTTTATGGGTGGCCTTGATGGTAGGGAAGGCTGTTCTGGTTAGGGGATCTATGGCTTGCAATTGGAAATGATGTTGGGAGAAATGTATTTCATTTTGTTTCTATCAGAAAAGATTTTGATTCAGCTGCTGCAATGAGATTGAATTGCCTTCCTTTTTCAACCGAAAGGAAGCAGGTAAGTCAATTACTTCGAAAATCCCATCTACCAATACTAAATTGATATAAGGGTTGAGTTGAGGGTGATGTATTTTCCCCTATGGCTGCTAAAAATGATCCAGTTTCTTGTTATTTTTACACTTCGCAGCCGTCATGAAAATGGGCATTAAAATGGGAGGATTTTTTCCCCAGAAAATATTATCAACAAAGGCTTTACGAACTTGAGGGCTATCAGCTATGTAACAGTTAGAGAACAATAGAGGTTGAACTATAAAAACAAATTTATCTATGGTAGAAAGTACAAAATAAATTTGCCTGGACAAATCCTTATTTAGTTATTCCAAATACTTATATGGTAGACAATAGTTAACAATATTAAAAAAAGGAAGAAAATTCTAAGGGCCTGTTTAATTGCACTAAGTTAATTATTCCATTTTCAATACATTTTGTTTAATTAATATAATTTTCTTCTCAAATTCCTTCCAAACAGCAGACTTCCACAAGCACTTCCCAACAAAGGCAATTCAACACATTTCTTTGAACCAAGTGCTGGTGGAATTTTAACAGTGAGCATATCTCAGATTTAGATGATGACTGATGATGGTGGCTGCTATAAGCGCCCGGGGATATTCATACTTTGACTACTTTTTTTTTTCCCTTTTCTTTGGAGCCTACCTCTGTGGGTTGTACAGGGGGTGATGTTATACATGCCTTGTTGGCTTGCTGTTTTTTGGAGCCTATCCTTGTGGGATGTAAACGATATTTTCTCCTATTCCTATGGACTCAGTAGGTTTTTAATTTTTTTGGTGAATCTCCTTTGCAGTTTTGGTTAGCAAATCTTTGGGTCAGTAGCTTAGCAAAGTCTAGAGGAGGGTTTGATTTTTTGTTGGTTCATTTTCCCCATTTTTTTAAAAATTGTGGCAGACGAACAGATTTCTATCCCTCAAGATTATGTTTTTGTTAGCTGTCATGCGGGTTGTGCATGTTTTGTTAATACTTAATAGTTGGGTAAGAAACTCCATTTTTTTAAAAATTGTGGTAAACGAACAGATTTCTATCCCTCAAGATTATGTTTTTTTTAGCTGTCATGCGGGTTGTGCATGTTTTGTTAATAGTTGGGTCAGAAACTCCTAGTCTCTTCTCTTCTTTGTTTTGTTTAGCCTGGGGAATGCCCCTTGCAAATTTGTAGATTTCCTTTGTTTTATTTATGACTGACTTGCCCAAAAAAAAAAACAAAAAAAATCACAGCAAGAAAAGTGACTGCAAAGAGTGTGAGGCTAAAAACGGAGTGTGAATATCATTTCTCCAAAACAAAATTAAGGTTTTCTAAAGGACCTCCAACTCGGTTAATTATCCTTTTACCTTCGTTAATTATTCATATAAAAAAATTCATTATTTTTTGGCAATTTTGTTAAAACTTACTCGGTTAGAACCATACATGTGCATATTTAGAAACGTATATACACTAGTGCTTGCCATTTTAATTTGTTTGACAATTATTGTTTTGTATTGAATTTACTTCAAGATTGTATACTTGTTCCATTTATATAAAGAAATATGTAGAAGTCAAATGTTCAATTGTCTATGTATCCTAATAAGTGGGAACCCCTTTGGTACACACGTAGTTACGTATTTTTGTGGCAAATAATCATAATTTTTTAGTAGAGTTACTACAAGTTGCGGTTCAGAGACAAAGTTATGCGTTTTTGTGATAATGTAACACATTTTGGGGTTGGGGTTCAAAATCGATGAAAAAATGCTGTTACTACAAAAATAAGTAACAGTACCACAAAATGCATAACGCCATTTTTGAACTACAAATTGTCGTAACTCTACCAAAAAATTATGAAATGTTTATCACAAAACTACATAACATATGCCATAAAAATGTGTAACTAGGTGCAAATGGTACACCTTTAAGGGATTTCCTTTATTTTAAGCTTCATATCCTACTCCAAGTTGCTTAATGTTTATCATTTCCCATGATAGTTTTTTAATTTATTTCCAATTTCCATTCCCCTACTTGGCAACCATAGCACTACATTCTTCACACCTTCCAAAGAAAAACCACCTAAATTTCAGAAAAGTCTCATAAGTAGAAACTGGAACAGTGAAAGTGACTTAACATAGGTTGGAAGACCTGCTCAAACAGATGCAAATAAGGTTACAACACTCCTTTTCAAACGGTTTCAAAGACCTGCTCAAACGATTTCATAGGTAGGAAGGCCTTCGCCCCAAAAAATGAAACAAAAAAGAAAAGGGCAACAAATTTTCTCATTCAGACACTCAAACCCCTTCTCAAATCTGTCAATGATGGGATGTGATTCCCTTGGTTGGAACAGAATCACCAAACAAACAGCTTCAAGTGCTACACACTACATTCCCTATGTAACCACCACTCCTTTTCCAGGTTAATTTTGGAGCATGTCACAAAGCAAGAGAGAATAAATCTATACAACCCCAAACTAAAGCAATGAGATAGCGGCACCACAAAATGTCATTAGCACAAAGCAAATCATACACCAAACCACTCTTAATAACGGTGATGGTTACCGTAACGGTAGCTGTTGCTCAAGATCAGCTCAATGTCATTGAAAGGCACATCATGCATGCCCAAGCTTGAGTCGAGAAAAGCCTTTCCATGCAAGCTTGGCTGAACATAAGCAAAAAGCTTTTGTTGGTTCAATTTGGTGGTAAGTGGTCACATAGAAGTAGGTGTTTTTGAAGTTCCAACGTCACATCCGTTGGTTAGTAGTGGACAATTCGAGAACTTAACCTTAGGATATGGGAACAGGTACTCATCATGTACTAGTACTTAAAGTCAGGAACAAAGTAAATCAACAATACTTATACGCAAACATAACTAAGTCAGGTTAATTTTGGAGTTCCAAAGTAAATCACTGGCAAGTTTGTACTTGTGCACAGTACTACCAGATTATTAAGCAATACATCTGCTGAAACTTAATCCTCGTGAATTGGACAACAACATCACCAACGGGTTTGTAGTTACCCTCAGGGTCAAAAACCATGTGGGAAATTCTACTTGCACGCCACGCCATAGAAAATCTCAGTACATATTATTTGTGTTATTCGGATATAAACTTCCAAATAAAAATCAAATGTTCAGACATAAACTTCCGATCAAAAATAAATGTTTTAGATATATATATTATTAAGTTTGGTATCAAAGCTTAGGCTCGACATTCTGTTCCTCTTCGTCCCTCTTTCTTCGTGAAACCACCCACTACACAATTGTAGTAACTAAACTGCGCCGCCGAGCCGTACCATTGTAAATACCAAAACTGTCAGCCTTTTGTCACCAAACTCTTCTCATCTTCCCACATGCGATTCCTTCTTCTCACTTCAAATCCTAAAATCGTAGACCCAGAAAAATCGATTCAAAACAAGAGAGAAACTGGGATACAGTACCATGGTTGTCGGGTCTCCAACTATCACGACCCTTCGTCATTGTCACCATCGAGCACTGTTGTCCTCTTCATTGCAACTCTCTTCTGGATAGTTGACTTGAAAGAAAGGGTTCTCATAACCCTAAAATAGATCTATGATCCTACCCGATCTATGAGACTAGTGACCCATTCCCTTGAACCCGGCAGTCCTTCCTAGCCCAATCGTTGATTGGTTAGAGTATGATTATTTTAGTTAAATTTAATTAAAAAAATATTAGTAACAGACATTGGTGAGAGAATTGTTAGGTTTCCTATTTTAATTAGATTTCCTTTTTAGCTTATAAATAGTAGGATTTGGCTTTGGCATTGCAATATTCAGTTTTGACAATATTATACTGAGATTAAAGGCTATGGCCATATTTGAGTTCTTGTCCCTCGTCTCTTTTCTTTTTAATATTGCATCCTACATCAAGTTGTCAAAACTTTAAAAACCAAATACCTTTCACTTACTCAAAACAAACCGGTAAATTTACAAGTTCCATTTGAGATTAGAACACGGTGGCTCAAAATCCAGCTTGTGCTTTTTTTATCTTTGCGTGTGTCCATATGAATACTTGATATTAAGAAAGTTGATTGCACATACCTTGAAGCTTCAAATATTAGAACTGGTGTGCACAAAACTAAGGTGAGCCAAATAATTGCTCTCAGCAAAATCATGTAATGTACGGTGTGGCCGTGAACCTTCACGGTCAGGTCTTCCAAACTCTTCCTTCAAGAACCGTCTGCACTCATCAGCATCCTGGAAAAAAAGCATATGAAGAAAATAGTTAACATTTGTTATAAAATAAATTAGAACAAAAGACAACGAGGAAAATCAAATGGCCAAGAGAACAAGGCAGACCTCACAACCTTGTGTATTGAGTATGACCTTTTGTCATATTTTCTTTGGGAGAGAAAAATATTAGCATTTTAGTTTGTTCCAATCTTCACTTCAGTATAATGGCCATTCAAAATTGGAAGAATTCTACTTTAAACATCTCACTTCTCTGAGCAGGGGCAGTTGAACGTATACATTAGGGTATTCAAATCTTCAACATCAAACTCACCCACTCTAAACTTTGCACACTCACCTTACAACCCATGCACAACATCGATTAACTCTGAGTGTAATACACTCTTATAAAAAATTCTTCAAACCCAAAAAAGGCGTTCATAAAATGAAATGTATGAAATTTATTTAAAAATTGATGTGATGTAGGCCACAATCAACATATATCTGCTCCACATTTTATTTTCTAAATACTGACAATTGACTTAAAAAATCATCATTAACATAAAAGAACAAAATAAAATACATGTTATGTTGAATTAGGGCACAAAATTGGCGAACTCCATTTATCTATTTTCAAGTTCCTTAAAGATTAGGTATGATGCGTATGACTTGTCGAGAGTAATTGTCAAACTCCATGTATCTAATTTTTTTTTTGTTGAAATAATATTATCAATATAGCCCAAAAAAAATTTGTTTGTTATTTAGAAAATTTAAATTATGAGACATCTCTGTTTGGTTTTAGAGTTTTCAAAAAACAAATTTTGAGTTTTCAATTTGTATTTTTTTTGTTTTAGTGATTTTTAAAAATATTTTAGTTTAGATTCACTCAATTTGTGAAAAATTCTTTAAATACAAAAAATAAAAAATAAATAAAAAAATCAGTATTTTCTTAAATAATTTCTTTTTTAAGTACATTTAAAAATTCATTAAATACAAAAAAGAAAAAATTTCAGTATTTTCATAAATAATTTCTTTTTTAAGTACATTTAAATTAGATACATCTAAAAATTTTAAAAAAAAATTTGATTAAAATATTTTAAAAAATCACTAAAGCAAAAAAATACAAATTGAAAACTCAAAAATTGTTTTTGAAAACTCTAAAACCAAACAGAGATTGACAAGTGATTTCTTTACATAAATTGCAATCAGGTTTTAAATGAATACCCTGACCAATATTTTTCAGGAGCGGCCACTGCTTCTTAGTAGAGTTTAAGTTTAGCAAATGAAGAATGAGAGGGTGATGTGGCAAAAAAAAAAAAAGACAATAGGCAAGAGAATTGAGGAAGAAGCACAAAATTTTGAAAATAGAACTTAATAAAGAATGAAGAGATGATAGGATGAGGTCATGTGGCACCCTTCTAGTAACTAAAAATAATCCTCTAATATATATTGATTACCTAAAAAAAATAAGGCATAAGTACAGTAGGGGTAGAACTTACCCCCCAAAATAATAATGAGTGTAGTAGAAAAAACAAATGACCCGAAAATTGAGTAATTATGCCAAATTGATATTCAGGAAATATTTTCAACAAGTGTGCAGTTCGGCGCGCACACGCGCCGCCACAGAGAGAGAGAGAAAGAGAGAGAGAGAGATTTCAACAGAGGGTTTGACCAATATTCCCAACAAGGTTAAGTGACGTCATGCCTAAAGTAAATTCCATTCCAAGAACCTGGTCATTCCCGTCTATAGTGAACATGGCCCTTCGTGCATGGGCCTGCAACTAGATTATATCTCAAATGCACAGTTATAATACCCCAAAAAAAAAAAAAGCATTTTTCTGGGAGGTACCTGCAAGAACGTCAGCATTTGCTCTTCCACAGTACCACGCATTGCCAATGTTTCCACATGAATAGGACGAGTAGCACCCATCCGGTGAGCGCGACTAATCACTTGTTCCTCCACGCTGATAAAATTTCAAGAAATATATCCGGTTTAATACATTTAGAAAAAAAACACATGGCTATAGCATCATATGTTGTTGGACAATCTAAATGATGCATATGAATTTGACTTGACAAAGAGTTAATGGCAGCAATTATCATGGTAAAAATGACTACATGAGTGACCTTTTGATTAGTAAGAGCAAGCAAAGCTTGATAAGGAAAAAAACAGGGACCATTGAACAAGGAATGGATGAATATAAACTTAATCACACAATCCCTCTGACATATTTATACTCTCAAGACTAATACAGTGGTCATTTTTCTATTACCTTCTGTCCCAGATTGGTTCCATTAGAAAAACATGTGTTACAAAGCTCAAATCAAGGCCTAATGCTGCACTTCCATCCATAAGAAGAGCCATACAACTTGCATCATGCTGGAAGGTTGTTAGTGACTTCATCTGAAACATGAGAAGAAATTTGCCGATGAATACAAAACAAAGACATCAAACAACAGTAATAATAATTTTTACTTACCCCTCAAAAGAAAACATGGTTCAAAATATACCGAAAAATCCATTTTATCCCTCTGTGGTTTGGCCCTAGAGCACTTCACCAACTCACATTTAAAAATAGCCACAAAGCCCTCACGTTGTTTTGGACTAAATCGCAACTCTAACTCCATTAACTTTACATATAGATGACATTTATATCCTTGGAAAAAAAAAGTACTACCTCGACCACCAACTCCATATTTTAAGTGGTCCTCCACCAAGGTCTTTCCCACTCTCATCGCCAACTCCTTTCTCCCAGTGGTCCTCCACCAAGGGGTTTCCCACTCAGATTTATTCTGAAGCTTTCTGGCTTGCTTGTAGAATTTTTGGACATGTATTGAAAATCAAAATACTTTTAGGAAGGAATAGTTTTGAGTTCTTCACTTGGGTTTGATCCTTGTGATCTTCTTCGCTCTCTTTCTCATCTTCTTGATATTTTGATCTTTTCTTTGGATCAATTCTACAAACATTCTGGTTTTGGAATCAATTAAATTGTTAAACGGATTCCTTGATAGCCGTTTTGCATCACCAACCCATTAACTTTAAACCCAACTCATTAACCCAAATCCAAACAATCAAGAGCCCAATACGTCAGCCCAACTAAAACCTTTACCCATCTACCCAAGCTCATCAGCCCATTCTTTATAGGCCCAAACAAAAATCCATTCAACCTATTTCAAACCCAACCAGTTTATTTATAGCCCACCACAGCTACTTTAAGCCCAAATTTGACCCAACAAATTAATTAAGGCACAGTCAACCAAGCTCACCCAATTCCTTGAATCTAGCGGAACAAAACACAAACATTTTACAGCACCAGCTTATTTAACCCACAGCCCAGTACAATCTGCAAACTAACCCAAAAGCAGCCAGCCCAGTCAAAATAAAATAAATAAATAAATAAAAATACAGTAGCTAAAAAAAATAAAAAGTAACTTCCTCCTCTTTAGCCCATGTTCATGAACGTTGAGTTTAACTCAAAATTTGATGACTTAACATCAAAACCTACAAGGATTTAAGGCCTCCTTGGCGCAGACACTATCAATTTTGTATAGGACATAATCAAACTTTGGATAAATTGTTGACCCTTCTTTTAGGAGATACTTCAAAACTTCTTCAGAATCCTTGTGAGGATCATGCGGAACTTGTTGACCAAGCAGTTCTGATGCTTGAGCAAAGTGAAATTCTTTCAGAAGAAAATTTGAAGTACAAGAAGCTGCTCTCACATAGACTAGGAAGCACGTATTCACATACGGGATATGGATATAATACAATACGGATATAGCAATACAGTAAAATCTAAAAAAATAGGATATGGGTCAGCGAGAATACGTTTGTAAAAAAATTATTAATTTTTCATTTTTGGTTATGTAATATAAAATAAAACCAAAAACAATAGTACATTCGTTAATATTTCTAGTATCATATGGAAATGTAGTACATTTATGTAAAATTCAAAGGCTTCACTTAAAATTAAATAAATAAACAATGCAGGAAAAGATGTCAAAACCCAGCATTCGGATCCTTTGGAGTCCAAATTTCCTTAAGTGTTCATTCAATGAAATGAAACGACATCATTTAGCCCAAAATGACGTCATTTTGATTACGGCTCAAATAAAAATTAAAAAATATATATATCTAAAAAAACCAGAGAGAGAGAGAGAGAGAGAGAGAACTGTCAAAGTCTCCTCCTCTGGTCACCCCACCCCTCCGCCGCCCATCAGATTGTGATCCGGACAACTGCGGTCACCACATCATCATCTTTGACGTCTACTACCCTTCCGACAAGCATTTTTCAGCTCTATCTTTCCCTCTCCCTATATATATACTTTTGGTCTATATTTGTTTCTACAATTTTGGCAATACTGACTTTCTACAAACGAAGCATCAGGAGTTTTTGATTTGTTGTATGCGAGTGCTCCGTGATGATTATTCTGTAGGCCTAATATATATTTGCGTATACATTACTCTTATTTTTGTGCAATGTATGTGTTTGGAATTTTGGACATTTTCTTTACAAACATTGAAACTCAAAAGATAACTTTGGGCAGCGTGCTACCATCTTATGGGTGGCACTGCAGCTTCTAAAAACCCTAGATCTAGGGTTTTGGGAGAAGAAAAAGAAGAGAAGCAGGGGGAGAGAAAGGGGGCAGTGGATGGTGGAGGAGACGTTCTGCCTTAATCAAAATAACGTCGTTTTGGGTAAAACATCATTCCATTTCACTGTGGAACACTTTAGGAAATATGGACTCCAAAGGATCCAGACGCCATAACCTAACCTACTCTTTGTTAATATAAAGTTAAAATAATAAAAAATATAACATGAGATTGTTAATGAAAGAGAACACACACACACACAAAAAAAAAAGAAAAAAAAAAAAAAAAAAGAAGAAGAAGAAGAAGAAGAAGAAGAAGAAGAAAAACCGAAGTGAGAATGATGTGTAACATGTGAGTATTAAACCCTTCTTGTTGGTAGATTGAGACAGAGAGATCAAACGAAATAGATTGAGACAGAGAGATCAATGATCTTTGATCGAATTGTGAGTACCAAACGAAATAGAGAGAGAGAGAGTGTCCTGTTGCTGGTCGATCGAGAGATAGAGAGGAAGCAGGAGTCCTATTGTTGGTAGATTGAGACAGAGAGATCACTGATCTTCGATCGAATTCTTGGCCCACCTCTTTTCTTGGCTGATAACCGATTTGAGGTTAGGGTTCCTTTTCGATTCTCATCATTTGATGTTAGGATGCTGCTGAGAGTTGTAAGCAGTTTGATTCCTATTATTTCAACTTCAAGTTTAATATTTTTATAGTTTGACCCCCAAAAAAAAGTTTTAAAATTTATGTTTTTGACCCCGCTGTATCCCCAAAGTTTCCGGTAGGTATCCTACACCTACACGTCTCCATATGTATCTGAAACTTATTTGAAATTCAAAAAAATAATTAAAAAAATCGGATACTCTTTTGCCATATCTGATTCATATCCTGCCGTATTGAATGCATATCCGATACTCATACGTGGACAATTTTGGAGTATCCATGCTTCATAGCACATAGACAATCCTCATACCGAAAGAAGAGCCTCTTGCACCTACAAATGCACTCAACTTGTTGGACCCTATTGATGCTCTAACTAATTGCTTTGTGAAGTTACAAAGAACTGATTTGATTGGTATTGAAGATTTCCTTTGTGTCTAGGTTTAGTGAACCTCATCAACACCTTGGAAGCGAGGAAGTTGGGATGGGACAAAAACAAAGCAAGCAGCATATTCGAAGTATTTGATTCTCTGTCATGGATGAATTCAATACTTAAAAGGGTAACTCGAGGACAAGTTTTTTTTCACAGTCAGGGAGAATGATGTGTAACATGTGAGTTTAATTAAGAGTTTTATTTTGGTTAGGATTTTTATTATATTTGTTTTCCTATTTTATTAGGATTCAATTTCCTATTTTTATTAGGGATTTTAGCATATGAGCATTAAGGTTTACTTATGTATTATGAAGCTTTGGAATATTGTTGAGTGTTTAAAGTTGCCACAGTGTATAGGGTGGTGGTCCTCTTCTCCCTCTTCTTCTCTCCTTTCTCTTCTTTCTTTTCTACATCAGGCACGCAACCTCCAAACTGAAATTTAATTGGAGATTCACACAGGAATTGCACAATTGGCTTCAACTGTCACCTAGGGTTTGACATTGAACAAATTGCGACTTCAATCAAGGACAGAACCACTTAGCGACCAGCTTTGATTTGTAAACGACAATGAACAAACAGATGCTCAGTCATGATCGAAGTCACTCACAACTGAGTTATGTAATCGTGATTCAGTCATAAATGACTTTATGTGACTCAAATTCAAAGTTCATACACATCTGAGTTCGAAAGGCTTGAAGTATGAAGTTCTCAATTTCGTTTCCAGACTACGAAGAAGATCACAACTGTCAGCTTGGGTTTGCGATGTTCCAGGATCCGACTCCAAAACTCGGTCGACTCCAGAATCACTATGATTTCTGTAATCCAACAGAGGTGTCTTCAATTAGAATTGAAGCTTAGTTTCGGTCGATTGACGATTTTAACACCTGTGACGAAATTTGAATCCAATCACACACTGCAATCTAAGAGCAAAACTGTTATTTTTTCCTCGATTGTGAATTCATCAGCCAGTTAGGAACAAAATGAAGGCAGAATCAAAGCTCTAATACCAAAAATGATGGAATCAAAGATCAAAGAGAGTGAAATTTCCCTAGAGACAATTTCCCAATTGGGAATACAAAAGCTTTGCTCTGAAAAGAAATACAATCTTCAAAATATCAAAAGTTAGTTAGAGAGCAACTAACCACCTATATTTATTGACAAAGCCACCAAGCTAGCTCAACTACAACACTAACTCAGCTAAATACTTAAATCATAAACCACATGAGGACATTTTGGATATTTTTAAACGTCAGGGGGTAAAGTTCTCAGTGCCAAACCACAGGGTTTAAAATGGATGATGTTCAAAAGAGATATATAACACCTTGATGCATACCTTGTTGCCAGAATGCATTGGACTATACATCCCAGCAAATTTGATACCAGCACCAGTTAACTGTCAAAAAAATGAACACAATAATAGTGAAAACAATAACAGCAACAGCAACAAAAAAGAAAACATAAACAATAATGGCAATAGCCTGTAATTTACACAAGGAAAATTATATTATCCATTTGTATTCCATGCTAGATCAGAGCTACCTGCTGCTCGATGACATGTATATGCTCAAGAAACTGAGAAAAGATTAGAACTTTCTCTGGAAGTGTCTTGCAAGACTCAAACTGGTGTAACAGTGTACCAGAATCACTTTTCTCAGAAAGACAAAGAAACTTCTCAAAATGCTTGGCATCATTTCCCTCATCTATGGAGAAACCAATCATTTTATTAGCTTCCTGCAAATCTTTCAGCTTCTGAACAAGATAAGCAACTTTACTGCTAGATGTTGATTGCCAATCAGGATCCCAGTCATCCTGAACCAACACCATGAAGATATGTAAAAGAAAGAAAATATTGATCACAGATAATAATAATAATCATATAAAAAAGGGAAAAAAAGAAGAAGAAACAACAATGTGGAACTAAGCTTGCCTGTTTATATGACGGCTGTAACTCAATGAGGTCTTTGGGAACAGGCCACTTTGGGTTAGGATTTTCTGGACGGGTTAATATTTCAGGACTCTGCATCTCATATAAGTTGTCACAGCCACGGAAAGTACATCTTTCACTATCCAAAGCAACACAATCAAGGCATAAAAGATGCCGGCATGGTGTAATGACAGGTAAACGGCACCATTCTTTGCACCTAACAAATAAGAAACCATCAGTAATCAAAACATAATATGTAGATCCAAATTAAAAAATGTCACATGAGACGACAAAAGGCATATCTGACCTCATACAGCTTCCACCATATAGTAGGTTATATTTTATGAAAGCATACTCTTCCGAAATAGGATCCAGGCCATTTCCAACTAAAATATCCATTGTTTCCTGAATATCTTGCCCGGCATCTGTTACTTTAATATGTCCAGCAACACAGCAAGACAGCCTCACATTTCTGATAGTAGTACTTCGAAACTTCCATTGCTTTGGGTTCAGTAAACTTTCAACATGAGACGGATCGTTCCAATCAGCCATTAATATATTACGCCGTACTGTGACTGCCAATTCATTATAACTTCTTGCATGTTCCTCGGTAAAATCAAGAAATGTCACTTTTTTTAAGCAAGGAGGAATTGTTTGCAAATCTACTTTTCTTGCACTAATCATGCACCTATGAAGTAACTGCAACAAACGTGATCTACCCTCTTCCATCTCTGCTTCAAATGGTCTAAGAATGCCAGTTTCCCATGACTTCTGATTCTGTCCATAAGCTTCCTCACGAAGGAACTTAAGCATGGGCTGGAGATGAGATACTTGACTGTTGGGTGTGTTAGGAGTTGGTGTTCCCGTCAATAACCAACGATTTGAAGCTGTCAGTGAAATAGCCATTTGCAATTTGTTTGTCAAGTTAAGACTCGAGCCAAGGGTATGCCCTTCATCTAGTATGACCCTATGCCAGTGAACTTGCATCAATACACTTCTGTTACGGGGACTCCACTCAGTACTTAAACGATTGAAGGTAGTAATAACAACATCATAGTCCCAAGCCAGATTGTGTGCACAAGGCTTTTTATGATCTGTCCAGACATAAAGGCGCAACTGACCAGGGCTGACATGCTTTTGAATTTGGGTTTTCCAATGATCCACTAAGTTTGACGGAACAACAATAAGAGTTGCCCTTGACAAATATAACCTTAAGGAATCCAAAGGCTCGCAAAGAGCAATTCTGAAGGCAGCCAAATCAAAAACCAAGTTTTCAAGGGTTCTTGGGTAGTACCACCTAGTAGAACCCTTTTCTATGCTCTTTATTAGACCAAATGCCTGAAATATTTTATGAAATTCATGCTCATCGCCTCTGAATACCACTCGAGTGCTCAAGATAGGCTGTAACAAACCAGTTGTTTCCATTTTTGACAGTTTGTCTGGTGAAAGTTTAGCCAACCAAGTCAAGGCCTTTTTCGTTTCAGAATTAATTAGTGCATAGTGCTCCTTAAGCACGCTGGTGAAAAATGACACATTTTCTTCCTTCCCCCCAGGAGTTCCTTTGGTGTGGAAACCTGGTAAGTATGTAATGGACTGACGGTAATCCCAAGATTCTTCTGGAACACTGCAACTCTGATGTAATGGGTCACTGTTCATACTACAAAACCATGCTGTTGTATCATCTGCCATACTTGCATCTTCAAGCTTCCGCCACTTGCGACAAGCATCACACTGTACCCAAGTTTCATTATATTCAGAATGATCAGCAGTGGGCTTCCTAGGCCTCTTGCTATCGTTCAGTGATCCACAAGATACACCAATTTGCTTGTCTAGAGAGCCACATCCTGGGCCATTGGAAGCACACTTTCTTTTACTTGATTTTTTCCGAACCTTGCATTCGTCAGAAAAATCAGACTCTACTTCATATGTGTGAAGAAGATTTCTCCTAATGCGACTGAAGCTCCTTGTGCATCGAACTACATGTGTTGCTGGAGTAGAGCAGGCAGCTGTGGGTGGATCAATTCCATCAAATGGACATAACTCAGTAGATCCTACAATTGGCACTGAAGAATCCAAAAAACTGACTCTTTCTTGTGATGGGCATTTAATATTCTCCCTCGGAGTTAATTTACTGAAAGAGAATTGTTGCCTTCGAGCATGATGACCCAAAGCCCTTTTATTTGATAAGATGTTACCACTGGTGACGTCACCATTATGCTCATAATAACCACATCTCTGATCAGCATTATGCATACACCAGATTACTTGCACTCCATCTGGGGGCTCTGCCATTGTTCCTTGCGTCTTCAGAATAAGGGAAAGGGCGGTTATAGTCTTACCTAATCCAGGTTCATCACAGAACATTCCCCCACGGAAATCTCTAATTGTGGGAACTGATTCCGTGACTATTTCACCACAAACAGTATTTATATAAAAACCAAACCCGTCTTCAGTTAAGAAATCCATGTACAGAGGATGTGGCAATAATTCAGAATCCCGCTCACGCTGTAACATCCACTCAACCGCTGCCTGTTGGTGAGGAAAAAGTTTAAGTTTCATACATGGCATAACTGATACTGTCAACAATCTTAGATGGCGGCATGTGGCTGAAACCCTGACAAGGTCAATAGGACCAAGTGCATTCAGAATTTTAATCAACACATCATCTGATACCTCCCAAATACCAGATTCACGAGAAGCATCTGCAGGGTTCACTCTTGAAGAATCAACATTTCCTTTCTTTGCCACACTAGGTAAGTTCTTAAAAATTTCATGAAGTTCAAATAGTTTTCTCTTAGATGTATCAGGAAAACTGCAATGCTGTTTGCATCCAAGAACATGACAATCAGAGAGTTTCCAAATGCAGTTAATATCTTCACGATCGGAGTTGAAAACATTTCCATTACTAATGAGCAATGAACTCCTTTTCTCCCAGTGACAACTGCAGAAAATGGCCAAAACCGAGTCAGTGAGACAAACATACAACAAGCAGGCAATTAATGCAAATATGAACTTCAAAGCAACATTTAAACTTGTGTAGTTAGTCATGATTCAGGGTGTAATTTGTAGTGTGATGAGTCCACACAACCAGAGAATTATGTAGAAGAACAAAGTTACATTTCATGAACTCAGCCAAATCTAGCAAAAGTAATCACTGAGACAGCATCAGGAATCCATGTCTTGGCAATTAGTTCATGAAGCCATGTCTCGAAGGCAAAGAACCATGAAAACGCTTGTTTAAATCTGATATCAGCCACTTTGTGCATTATGTGTGTGTCCAATCTATACCAATTTCAGCACTCTCAATTATGTAGAAGCACAAAGTTACATTTCATTAAGTCAGCCAAATCTAGCAAAAGCAATCACTGAGACAGCATCAGGAATCCATGTCTTGGCAATATTAGTAGTTCATGAAGCCATGTCTCGACGGCAAAGAAGCATGAAAATGCTTGTTTAAATCTGAGAGCAGCCACTTTGTGCATTATGTGTGTCCAATCTATACCAATTTCAGCACTCTCAATTAAAGTGGACTAAAAAACAAGATTACGAACACTAAACAGACCATAGAACCAACCACATAAAATAATCCTAGTGATGTAGTTAGAACTAGTATGGCTGTTATGTTTAGCACTATAAGAGTTAGTTAGAGTTAGTTGGGTCTTTTATCCTATAAATAGGTGGTTAGGCATCTCTAGTATTCAGTTTATAATATTTTGATATTGAATATTTCAGAGCTCGAGAGTTCTTGTACCCATTTTGGAATTTTCTCTCTAATGAAATCTCTTTCTTGATTGGTTTGATCACCTAGCGATACATGTCAAGCCCCAGATTTTTAACCGATACAAAGAAGACAAAATTAAACCTACCAACTAACAGCAAATATAAACAAAACAGCACTAAACCGCAAACAAAAACAACTAAATCAACTCCTCTACAAGATCAACAAAGGTCAAAACATCCGGATCCACTGATAATGATAACCAACTATGCAAGACAATGAACAAACGCCTCTCCAACCATGCCACCAAACGCATCTCCCCCCAAAAAACTCGCCTATTACACTCTAACCAAACGAGTCACAATAGACAATGACTAGCCAACTTCCAAGCCTTCCGACGGGAAAGCTTCCCAACCCTTCCCCCAGCCCAACTTTGTAACACTGCCCACACTGTCCTAGTGTCACGCCCCGACAATTTATGTGACACAAGGAGCAGCGTGGGCGATATGCTGAAGGCGCTGGAAGGTTCCGGAATGTGGGAGACCAACCTAGAGTATGCTGGAAGACTCTAGAACGTGGTAGAAGGGTCCGGAGTGGCCTGGAAGATTCCGGAATGCGGAAGAAGCTTGGAGTGTCCAGCAGAGTCTGGATGGGTCTGGAACATCCTAGATTATCCTGGAGAAGCCTACCATGTACTACACTAGTGTGGAGAGTTCTAGATTGTAGTAGATAGGGTAGTTGTCCTAGATAGTTCTATGGAATGTTGTAGATGAGAGTTTGTAGCCCTTGGATCAAAATGATCTGAGCCGTCCATTAAGGAGGGGGATGGCTATATAAGGGTGAGGGATCTCATTTGCTAGGCACCTAGAGACCTGGAGATCCAAGAGAGCTCTAAGAGTGAAGCACTTGTGAGTGTGAGTGTGAGTGTGAGAGCCTTGTAAGCTTTGTACACGACTATACTTGTAAATGTTAACTTGTATAGTGAAGACATTCTTCCACCTAAACTATGTGCTAGTGTGGTTGAGTGGCATTCTTCCACCTAAACTGCGTGTGTTAGTGTGGTTGAGTGGATAAGGCTGACTTAGGTGCAACCAAGAGGGTTGAGAGGCATCTAAGGCCGCATGGTAGGCTTGCGAAGTCTAAGTCCGTGACAGTTGGTATCAGAGCAAAGGTGTACATGGCTACGTCTGGCAACGAAGGGAACGTCCCCAGGGTGAGGAAGCTCTCAACGAAGGAGTCGATGGCAGCATTGGAGGCGCGACTCGAGGGGATGATGGAGAGTGTGGTAGAGCAGTTCACTAGGCTTGAGGATGCGCTAGTTGGCCCTGGTAAGCCCACATCTCGTGTCAGTGACTTTTTCTCCAATTTTGCTAGTTTGGTTGCTAGGGTGGAGATGCTGGAGGAGAAGGTAACCCAGCAGAAGGCCCTGGAAGCAAGAGTAGCTAGCTTGGAGTTAGAGTTGGAGTTGTGCAAGAAGGCCATCGTCGCTGGCAATGGAGGTTGGCTTCACCGAAGAGGAGGATTCGTGAGCCGGAACCGAAGAGCTATGAGGGTGCGAGGGGTGCCCGAGAAAGCCGTGCCAAAGGTGGGAGGCAGTCTCCTCAGACCACCGAGGATGAGCACAGTGAGGGCGAGGCCCAGAAGAGACGGGAACGCCGAGGGAAGGGGCAACGCACCGGATCTCTGAGGAAGGGAGGGCAGCTTGAGTGTTACCTGTGCAACGGACCGCACATGGTGAGAAACTGCCCAAAGAAGAAGAAACAGCTGAGTGCCATGGAAAGGAAGGGAAAGAAGGAGGCGAGGGACTCCGAGAGTGAAGACCCTTCAGAGGTGGCGGCCCAGCTGGGGAGCATCCAACTTCTTGGGTCGATATCCCAGAAGAGTGGGGAGGTGCACATCCAAAAGAAGGATGAGCGGTGCGCGGAGGTGAAGGCCAAGGAGAAAACTTCACATGCGCAGGAGAAGAGAGGTGCCACTCTAAGCTTTGAGTGCACTGACAAGGCTAAGAGGCTGGGCTTGAAGAGGAAGGGGCGGCTCGAGTGTTTCCTGTGCAACGGACCGCACATGGTGAGGGACTGCCCGGAGAGGAAGGCACTTACAGAGATGCAACAGAGTAGGTTGCTTGGCAAGGGCAAAGAGAAAGCACTTGCAGGGATGCAACAGAGTAGGCTGCATGGCAAGGGCGAAGAGGCAAGCTCCAGCAGCAGCGGACACAGATCATATCGAGACGTGGTGGCTCAGTATGCTTCTGCGTGACGAGGGCGTCACGGGATTGGGTGGGGGAGAGTGTCACGCCCCGACAATTTATGTGACACAAGGAGCAGCGTGGGCGATATGCTAAAGGCGCTGGAAGGTTCCGGAATGGGGGAGACCAACCTAGAGTATGCTGGAAGACTCTAGAATGTGGTAGAAGGGTCCGGAGTGGCCTAGAAGATTCCGGAATGTGGAAGAGCCTTGGAGTGTCCAGAAGAGCCTGGATGTGTCTGGAATATCCTAGATTGTCTTGGAGAAGCCTACCATGTACTACACTAGTGTAAGAGAGTTCTAGATTGTAGTAGATAGGGTAGTTGTCCTAGATAGTTCTATGGAATGTTCTAGATAACTAAATCAACTCCTCTACAAGATCAACAAAGGTCAAAACATCCGGATCCACTGATAATGATAACCAACTATGCAAGACAATGAACAAACGCCTCTCCAACCATGCCACCAAACGCATCTCCCCCTCAAAAAACTCGCCTATTACACTCCAACCAAACGAGTCACAATAGACAATGACTAGCCAACTTCCAAGCCTTCCGATGGGAAAGCTTCCCAACCCTTCCCCCAGCCCAACTTTGTAGCACTGCCCACACTGTCCTAGGCTGAACCCAAGCCAAACCGAAGATAGCAACAACAACCATCCAAAGACGAGACACCACCGGACAGCAAATCAGCAAGTGATCCACCGTTTCTGTATCCCGACAACACATGCTATACCAGTTTACTAAAACATGTCCTCGATGAACCAAATTATCAATCGTCGGAATAAGCCCTAAAACTGCTGTCCACACAAAGAAAGTAACTTTGGATGGACAACCCACCACCCAAATAGTCTTCCATGGGAACGACATCCCATCCCTTCTCGAAAGCGAATGATAAAAAGAAAACACAGAAAATACCCCTTTGGACTTGGACCCATCCCACCACAAAGAATCCTTCCCAACCCCCCCAAACCGAAGCCCATACAAAAAGCCCAACAAATCCAGCAACTGGTCCTCCTCCCAATCCTGCACATCCCACCGCAAACCAACATGCCACACCACGACCTGGCCTTGAATTTGAGCATTAGATGCCACCGTCGCCTCTCGATCAATCACAAGACGAAAAATCAATGGGAACATCACCTCCAAAGCCATCTCACCACACCACCTATCCCTTCAAAACCGAACTTGATCCCCCATCCCAACCTTAAAACTAACCCTTTTCAAAAACTCCTCCCGCCCTAACCAAATACCTTTCCATAAACTCTGTCCATGTGACTGTGTAACCTCCCCAGTACTCCAATCCCCCCATCCCAAACCATATTTAACCCCCACCACTGTCCTCCACAACCGCTCCCTTTCGACCCCAAACCGCCATAACCACTTCCCCAGAAGGGCCAAATTGAACAAAACCAAACTCCGAATCCCCAAACCCCCCCATCATCTTAGGAGAACAAATTTGATCCCAAGCTACTAAATGGTAATGAAAAGACTTAGAACCACCACCCCATAAGAAATTCCTCTGTAACTTCTCTAACCGCTTAGCAACAGACACAGGGATGACATGCACAGACATAAAATAAGTTGGTATGCTCGAGAGCACACTCTTTATCAGAGCCACTCGCCCCCCTTTCGAAAGGTATTGGCGTTTCCAGTTGGCCAAATGACGCTGCACCCTGCCCACCACCCCATCCCACACCCCTTTCGCCTTATATGAAGCACCCAAAGGTAACCCCAAATAAGTAGTGGGCAATGCGGCCACCTTGCACCCCAAAATGGCAGCCAAAATCGATATACGTGCCACTGCACCAACCGGAATCATTTTGATAGCAAACCACACACCTTGCCAAGGAAAAGGAACACCCCAAAAGCCCACTCGAGCCCGATAAAATGATGACACCAAAAAAACCCCTTTAACCCCTTTACAACACCACACCACACCAAACCAAACCATCCTCCCCCAACCCAACCCCCTGAATC